TAGATCGCCTACTTTCAGTTCGTTTCGAGAGTTCCGTAGTCGAAATCATGTCAAAAACTCCGGAAGCTGGTGGAAAACGAGATTGTTGCATTGTCAGCTAGGAATGCGACTGCGTACTGGTCACGTGATGGCCGATTCTCCCAACTGTCTCTTGACATTTTCAGCCCGAGCACGTAAGTGCTCAGCGGAATTCCTTTAATTAAAAAACACGAGATTTCGTAGGGACGTTACTTCATGCGCAATGCTTCCGGTTCACAAAATGTTATCACTTGATTGCCTGATTTGTATTCTTTGCATCTTTTTGGTACAACAATAGCGCGGGCATTTTGCTTTGGGAGAGTACTAGCGGGGGTGTACACACTGCTTTGTTCACGGCGTGTGATACGTGGTTTTGCCTATAAAACACTGACTAACCTGATTGGCCCTCGTAAAGATGATCGCGTTGCAGAAAATGCAACAGTCGAGTGGAATTTCGCGTACTACACCTCTAAGACCTCTAGACAAGAATGTTTGATTTGCTGGCCAGAATGCGAACTAAAAACAGAACAAAGTATGGTGACAATAAATCAAATGGAATGGACAGTGTCTATATGTATCGCCGACAGTACGTGTAATGTCTAAGCCGTCCATGAGGATGACACTACCTTTTTTTGGATTTCATCCCGATGAATTAACTAGGTTCTACGTTGTACTTCCTATGTCAGTGACGCGTTAGAAAAAATGGATTCCTAACAAAGGAAAGGAAACTACTCACAGGGTTGTTGAAAACTCTTCGACAGCCCACGACCGGTTTCGCCCTTCCACTTTGGGCTCATCTGGTAGGCGCAGGCCCCGAGTTTCCGTCAACCTTATGATCTACTTGAACCCAAATTGCACTGTTTTTCGAGAAATACACTCATCTGCAAATCAATTTGGTTTTCACGGGANAACCTTATGATCTACTTGAACCCAAATGGGACTGTTTTCGAGAAATACACTCAGTTGCAAATCAATTTGGTTTTTACGAGAGACTCGACTGTGCAGCACTTTCAGTTGTAGAATATGACAAACGAGAGATTCAGTTGAGTCTCTCGTGAAAACCAAATTGATTTGCAAATGAGTATATTTCTCGAATTCTCTGATTACCCCAACTTATCATTTGAATATCCAGAACGGTGTTGGAAACGCATCTCTCGCCTGAGATCACTGATAAATTTTGAAGTGACTGTAAATTCCAAGCTGATTTTGGCTTCGATACTGATTTCAGAAACGTTCACATATGTTTTAAAGTAGATTCCTTGAAACTTCTCTATGCAACTTCGAATGTGGGGAGGCCTATGGTCCTCTCTTGATCCAAACAATACAACAGCCGCAACAAATGCTATTCGGCACGCCCGACCACTACATGAACTCACGCAGTTCAAATCAATGATGCTCGTAGGACACTGAGGACAATGGGTCAGATCCACCGGTTCCCATACCGACTCCTCGGCGCGAAAACAGTACTAGATTTCCGGTGTTATTTTAATCTGACTCATTCAATCACCAAATAACCATCTTTTTCGGTGTTCTCTTACTACTTTTTGGATGGCGATACTGTCTGATTTACAGCCATTTATCCCTAATTCATCCCCAATGTTTCATTGACGAACACATCTCCTGGGGCTGAAGATGCATTACATACATATTTCATTTTTAACCAGACTTTGGTGAATAAATTTGCAATGTTTCAATCTGTTGATCTGAAGATGACAGAATGATTACGTTTGGAGGCACAAACACCCGAGGATGCATGTGTCACAGAAGGATTAGCTTACGAGAACGTGAGCGAATTGGATATTAACGGAGGACAAAACGAACAGGTGCATCTCCTAGCAGGACCGAGGTCTCTATCGTGTGCCGAATGTCTTGTCTCCAGTTTCTCGCTTTATAGACTCGCACTGAGACACTAGCTTTCTTGCAACTATTTTGTCTCAGTTGATGTGCTCCAAACCTGCCCTACCCCCGCAAATCAAATGGCCAACCCCAGGCACAAACCTTCTGGCAACTGATGATGAGACGAGCCTCAAGATGGCGAACAGCGCCTAACACCGTTTGACGAATCAGTGCGCGGATTTTACGTACAGTATCGCTACATTTTGGTAACCTTTGAACTTAAAGAATCCTAACACCGTTTTACGAATCAGTGCGCGGATTTGCGTATAGTATCGCTCCAAGTAGTGGTAAAATACATTCCTTACATTTTGGTAACCTTTGAACTTAAAGAAGATTTAAAAAACATTCGAGACAATTTCCGCTTTTTTTACCACGTCCCAATTTGATTCAGCTCTCAACATTCACCCAAAGTCCGGTAAAATATTCACGCGTTCGCTCAGAAATCAATGTCCTTGTCGCATTTTGGCAATAGTTTTTCAGACTTGTTTCAGACAGGAAATACCGAAACTTAAAATTACGCCGAAAAGCCGAAAAAGTTCTTTTGTAAAGCTGAGTGGTAAGTCTACCACGGCTTTGGGACTGTGTTAAAGACAAGCGGCTGCTTGATAAGACTGTCTCACGTGAGACACAACTAGAATAACGTGTGAATGCACGCGTGTTTGGTGATTTGTCGTAGTTGAGTTCAAGTGGTACCACTGATGAAAGGAAGCGGGCCTTTGCTGCAGAGTTATTTACTAGAAAACGACAAGTGAACAGTTACAAACTATTGGACAGGGAAGCAAAACTCTCGTATGCATCTTGTTCACAAAAACTGGACATCCATCTTCTCTTGAACGCGTCTTCCTGAACTCTCCTAGATATTCGTTGACTGTTGCACAAGTGCAAGCAAATGCGACTCCACAAATTCGCTTTTCAAGAAAGACGAAGCGGATTTACGAGAAAACTTACTACTCACATGTTCCCATCAGTAGTATCATCCGTTACACTGGTTGCCTCGGTAAAAGTAGAAACGGACGCTGAGCTTGTGCAAATTTTTGCATTGGTTCCACCGGGGTATGCGTATTCAAGACGGAAATGATTCAACGTGAGACTACAGCATAGAAAAAGGGTTAACCCAAAAGGTAAACTCTCCAAGTAAAATCCATCTTTAAATTCACGTTTTATTTTAAAGGGGGCTTTACTTACCGTCATGCGATCGACATCGTGCATCACCAGACAGATTAGATTCCTAAACGTCCCCAATCTGCACGATATAATATCTGGATGTGCCTCCTGCCAAAAGACAAATTCTGCTTTGCTCATTTCTGAAATAACTTATCACTAGGAACGAAAAACTATTTGCTCACACGGATTATTACCGAGCGATAAAACAGAAAGAATCTACCGGTTACAAGCGTCTGTTTGACCATGAATTTTCACGTCTATTTTATTTCCGACAGCTTTGGTGTGTCTCCTAATATATTGGTCGCAGTGATGCATGTTTCACTCTTTTGCAGCTGAGAGAAAGCAGAAAAATCATTGTCGCTCAATCGTGCTTCTTAACTTAGCAGATTATTTCCCATAAACAAGGGCTGTTTTGCTTAGTTAACTTGTTCGCGTATGTCAGAAATCTGAAAGCTAACTTGAGCAATTTATAATGTTTTAAAGCTTAAAATTACCATAGTAGTTGTATTTAACCCGAGTATATTTCCATTTTTAAAGACTATCCTCGATACAATCCATCCTTCCGTGGATACGATTACTTGTTGTTTCTTTGAAAAATTTCCAAAACGTAACAGCCCTTATGGAGAAGACTACCTCAGAGCGGTTGTTGAATTTTCCGGAATAAAACGTATGTATGAGTCCCGCTTCAAGCAAGTTGACCGTAAAACAAATGCGGTTGATTTTGCTTCGATTATCGTATCGGAGAGAATCCACTGATTACGGTGAGGCTTTCACGAGACAGGCTTCTAAAAATCCAACTCCCTGATTTCTTATTCCAGTTTAACGACCATCAGGACATCGGGTTCTGTCGGCGGCTCTGCTCCCCTAGCTACCAAAGAGTTAAGCATAGTTTCTTAAATGAAAATATTTTAGCATACTCGTCGGAAAGGATTCATCACCAGAGGGATCGGCTAACACCATGGTGTCTGAAAACTGGCAACGTTTCGACTCGAATATGAATCGACCTTGGGGTATTTTTGCTACGTTGGGGCCGTTGGAGTAAACGATCGACAGTTTGCCGGTCGGTAAATCCAATAAAGAACTCACAATGGAACATTCTAACGTGGAATTTGTTTGTTTTTTAACGCACTAATACAAACGAACAAACAAAGAAGTAAATGCGATTACCCAAATATGTTAATTTGTACAATAAATTGGTTTCAATGGGAGACTTAGATGAACTTGAAGAAGATGGTCACAAGCGAGATGGTGAGCTGGATGAAGTTGAGTCTCTTGTCGGAACCAAATTTGTATGCGAATGGCAGTAGTTGTCAAATTTCGTCCAATTGGAGTCCAAGCGGAAACTCAGGAGCTGCATCTACCTGATGAGCTCCAAGAATGGAGAAGCTGGTTGTGGAGGCTGTGGAAGCTCTTTCACCAACTTTGTGTGTCATGTCCAGGCAATGCATTGCGTAGACACCTCGAATATCGCACCAACTGTAACATGAAGCGGCTTGCTGCAGCACCTTTTTTCTCAAACAAAGTCATCCTAAACGCGCATTAAGCTACGTCTATTAAACGTGAATGACGTTTAGATCAACTGTATCCGGAAGGTGATATTATGTTTGATCATAAACTGACAAATCTGTTGCACAAAAAGCGGCTTGGTGCAGCACCTTTTTTGTCAAACAAAGTCATCCTAAACGCGCATTAAGCTACGTCTATTAAACGTGAATGACGTTTAGATCAACTGTATCCGGAAGGTGATATTATGTTTGATCATAAACTGACAAATCTGTTGCACAAAATGTCCCTGGTAGATTTTGATCCATTGTGAATTGGGAAGCTCTGAAAAACTTTTTTATTCTAGCTGACTAGTTATGCGATACGAATTTAGTCTATCCATCCTGCACTAATATTGTTTTCTGCCACCTTCCCCGCAGGTAAATTTGGACTCCAAAACGCGGTTGGAAACCGAAGCGGAAATAGCAAACCCAACAGTTCACACCCTCGACAATGCTCAAAAGCGAATACAAGCCCTAATGGAAAAGGATTCATATCGTCGATTCTTACGATCCGAAGTCTATCTGACTCTCTATTCTGAGGCACGAGAAGTGGCAAAAGCAGTGGCTGCATCTGCTCTCGCCGCGTCTCTTCAAGAGGCTAGTGAAGAATTGGAGGGAGCAGTACTCAACCTGATCACGTCCAGTTCGTCGACCTCTCATTTTTCATTCCTATCCAATCTGGGTTCAAACTTTAACGCATCCACAGGAACCGGTCTTCATTTGCCTGGCGTTGCCGCGGCTGCGGCCAGTGCAGAGGCCGGGATGAACAGCGTCCAGGACCTGCAACTGTTGGGTTTGTCAACTTCCCGCCACATGCGTAACAGTAGGAAATCATCTGCAACAGACACTTCGGCGAAACGAACCCCCAAAACTGAGTCCGACTCACACAGTGGCCACTCGAATGCATCCACCAGTGACCAGGCCAGATAGCACAATCAGAAATAGTTCCATCGGGACAATGCTGTCATCTTGTCTAAACCAGAAACATGTTCAAAACCAATTCAGATTTATTGGAATTCAGGAGTATCGTTTATGAGGCATCAGAAAAAAATTGTCGATATTAACAATAAAACCTTTTTATATCCTTTGAATGATCTTTTATGATTGAAACACTTATGCAGCACATGGTACATGCAACAACTCTATGACTGATGTGTTTAGTTCCTGTTTTTTAATGGCAAATTACTTTTCTGCTGAGTATATATAATGAAACATATCTAATGAAATCACACTTGAGTCGGACTGGGAGAACAATCGTCTGACCTTGGCATCAAGAAGTTCACGTGACCGGTATCCGCACGCCATGTGACAATCAATAACAAAGATTTTGTGTGGTGCAGGCGGTTAGTGTACCAGAGGAGAATTAAAGAACAACTTACGGAAACGTTTCAGATGGCAGAGATGATGGTGGTATTGTAGAAACGAAGTGGTCAGAAGAACTGTAGGCCGCTCGGTAAAATAAGACGGCGTTAACCAGCATATAGCGGCGTATTCTACAAACTGTTTCCTGCACACCATAGTGATCATTTCAGCCCACAGATAGATCTATATATGTTGATTATACCTACTTTCCTTATTCAGCTTGACACCGTTCCAGTCCTTCGACATTCCTAACCGAACGAAAGAGGTAAACCGAACAGTTAGTTTCCGAAGGGTAATTAAAACAGTTTTCTAATGAATACAACCATGAAAGAACGGAATTCTTCGACTTAACTTTCTGCCAGCTAACAGCAGTTCATCGATCGCGATTTGCCACCATACTATCTGGTTTCGTCGGTCATGAATAAAAAAGCTATCGTACATGCGAAAAATCAGAGGTGGGTTTTTCAATAGACTGTAAGTTTAATTATAGGTAAGGCACAAATTTCTCATCGAACAAAATGTCCCATATGGAGCACTACCTCTCTTTGGATGTCGTGACAAATTTAACAGTGAACAATACTGGTCATATATTTGGACTGTTTCAACTGTACTTAAAAGGCTGTTTTTTGCATCCAGAAAACAATTGGCTGGTTCTCAAACCTATTCTAAGTCAATCGTGCTCCCTCACTATGCTGCTTTGTTCTTTTAACCGTAAGTTGCCAAATTATGTAATATGAGTTATGCATTGGGTGGGGGGGGGGGAGAGGATGAAAACTTGGGGCCTTGTTCCGNTTCTCAAACCTATTCTAAGTCAATCGTGCTCCCTCACTATGCTGCTTTGTTCTTTTAACAGTAAGTTGCCAAATTATGTAATATGAGTTACGCATTGGGGGGGGGGTAGATGAAAACTTGGGGCCTTGTTCCAGTTAAACGGATAGTGATGTCTCCTCGCTTAAGTTTTGAGCGTGAGCGTGATTGGTCATGTAGCTGAGCATAATTGAAAAACAGCCATGTGATCTTCCACAAATTTTACTGTCCCAAATAAGTGTGAAGGGAAATTTTACACCTCTATTTCACCATTGGTTGGTATGTGTGAACAAATTAGATGCTTCGGAAAAACTAGCATTTTGGTTGTCGGCAGTTGCATGATTTGTGGAAATCGCGCTGACATTACTAACGTCGTTATCGAAGAAGTTTAGTGACAATCGGTAGATTTATTGCTGGGCAGCGTTTCGCTTTTAACTCGAAAGTTTCGTCAGGCCATGTGACTAGGTTCCGAGGTTGGTCGAGATTTGAGGCGGAAGGAGAACCAATCAGCTAAGTCAAGTTAGATCTCCGTTGGGTGTCGGCCGAGAGAATTTTGTGTGTTAGGGTGGGTGAACAAGTGTTGGGGAGATGAAGAACCTACATGTGTTTGGGTCCAGCCTAGAGTCTAGTTCTTTTGGTTCGGTTCATTTGATGGTCCCTCTTGAATGTCGTTTGAACCTTCTGTCCGTCTGTGTGGATGAGCTAGTCTTAAGATAATTGTATAAGGGGGATGCTGTGACCTTTGATCAGGTTGGGATTTCCACCTCCACCCCCAGTTTTTGCAAATGAATCTACGTGGATTGACAACCACACAGCCACGTGTCCATTCGGCTTACCTAAGACAGCTTTCCATACGCTCGCCAATTCCACACCCTCCATTCTTGTGTAGATTTTGTCCCGTAAGTGAAGCCAATCTGTGCTGAAAAACCGAGAAGCACTGTACAGCTGTTTCATCCTTATTGGGAATCATCAGCAGTGCGCATCTCACAAAACTCCGAAGAGTCTCGAACCCGCGACATCCCGGCTAGTTGTTTGAACACTTAACCGTTCGGCCACCAGTGACTGATCAGCAGTGTGAGTAACTCTCAATTAGACAGGATATAGCGCCGCTCATCCTTCAATCACGTGTTGACTGGCTCCTTGAGCAACGGCTACAGGACGAAATCTCCACAAAAATCCCAACCCCCCTCACATTACCAACAATATATAAGTAGCTCATTGGAAGAATAAACTTCACCCGATGAGTGAAACTTCTATCTGAGAAGTCGTTGCTCGAGGAGCCAGTCAACACGTGACCGCGTGATGTGGATCCCGTGATTGAAGGATGAGCGGCGCTATATCCTAAGTGCGAGTTAATCACACTGCTGATCAGCCACTCGTCGGTGAACGGTTAAGTGTTCAAACAACTAGCCGGGATGTCGCGGGTTCGAGACTCTTAGGAGTTTCGTGAGATACGTGCGCACTGCTGATGATTCCCACTAAGGATGAAACAGCTGTACAGTGCTTCTCGGCTTTTCAGCATAGATTGGCTTCACCTACAGGACGAAATCTCCACAAAAATCCCGAATCTCCCCAAACTACCAACCCTCCATTCTATTCGCGCCGTGATGCTTAGTAATTTCCACCGTCTCGACTATCAGCCGCTGTGGTGTGAATCGCAGTCCCCGTCTTAAAACTTCCACATTCTCCAGATCTGTTCTATATACCGTGTCTAAGGCATGTACCACCATCGCTGAATCTTTGACCAGCATTTGGTATTCTTCTGCATTCCTTGGTGGTTTGTTAATACTTCTCTTATGCTCAACAATTCTGGTGTGCAATTCCCTGGCAGTTTGTCCTATGTAAACCTTAGTGCAACCGTTGTACTTAATTTTATATACACGGTCCTCTTGTCCTCAAACATTCATTCTGGTGAGTCTACACCACCATGCGAAGATGTGAGCCCCGGAATCTGATATATGAGATCAACGTGTTACTACCGCTGCACAAGCGTACGCTGAACGCATCTGAACTTTCGCGTTTGAACAGGCGAACTAGTTCACAATTAAGCGATGCGACTGGGTTGATCGATGCCTTGGACGATGACTCACTGATTAGCCTGATTGTATTGATCTACTTGCCCGCCTGTCAGGACTTCAAAGCCAGGTAGACAGTTTGGAATCCACATGGGTTCTCTGTAAGCGAACATATTAGCTACCACTGTGTCCATGAAATTCCGAGGTATGCCCTATCAGATCGAGGGAAGTGGACTCTTTATGTGCCTGCAAACCAGTGATCACTTACTGCTGGCCAGATATGTTTTATATTACCGCACATGTGACTGCAGTCATTGCTCCAGGGAACATTATTCACTTGCTTCATAATGGGACGGAAGTGTTCATTCAATCGTTCTATCAAACATTACCGGTCTTAAAGGATATCGTAGCTTGTAATGCAAGCACGTTGTCAAACGCCACCAGAAAATGTGCACTACACTTTGTCGATAATATAGTTCAACAAGCTGTCTTCCTCTAAATGGGTAACACAGGGCTATAAATAGATGGCAGTTAAGGGTCCCTTGAGAAAAGCACATACATGTGCCATTCAACGGTATATTTAACTGAGTAAATGCAATCAACACAGTCTTTGCCGATACGCTGAAAACGTTGATTCGCGCCTCTAATTCTAGCAGTTACATGTGCAATTGAGCCATACACCTCAACTCTTGTTCAATATAAAAGTTCCTTCTGTAGAGTTCCGGGTTTGTATAAACAAGATGAATCCTAAATTTAACAAAACGGACAGTTCTATTTTCAGATTTAGTGCGTTTTCAATAAAATCTTTGCATACTGAGGTTTATTGAGGACATCTCTTGATGCTTCTCCATATATATAATGAAGGGTCAAAAAGGGACAGAGTGGCTAGCTGTGTTCAGGTGATAAGTGGTGTTCATTGATCGATGGCCAGTTCAAGCCTGCAGTCCGAATCGATCGTGTTTGTCCTGAATCCACTGGTCTGATTGCCATCGGCCCCAGAAGCCATTCAAATGATTTTGACTTCTTGGAGGAGATTAGTCTAGTACCTAGGCAATTAATTAAATAGTGAGTCGTTTTATTCCCGCCTTTAGTTCTCCATCACGTGATGATTGTGATCCTGCCGTCACCCATGAACAAAATGACAGATTTACTCACGGACTGTCAGCTAGTCTTATAGGTCCATCATTAAAACTGGTAAACTGTAGAGAGGTTGATTGCCAAAGCACTAATGCGAGGAATTTGGTGGGCAGGCCGATGAGTTTAGAGGCTCCCTGAAAAGCAGCCGCTTGTATAGTACCATCCTGGCAACCATCAGTCACTTTAAATCTGTTGCATTGCTTTTTTTAACGGAATCAACATACTGGAACTTTCATGGTAGTAAATAGGAATGCTTTAGTTTATCACCAGACAAGAATAGTTGCTGGGATCCCGTTTGTGCCAGAAACCTTTCTGCTTTGTCAACCAACAATTTACCCTTCCTTTTCGATTGTTTCATCTTTCCCAATTGGTCTTTTGAACGACGTTGGACCCACACAGCTAAACCTTTACTCCCGTTTTCCACTGACTCTATCTTGCTTCGAAATGCAGTCCAGTAATGAGCATCACGGCCCATCCAGTCCAGGAAACTTCACGGAAAGGGTGAAGTTTCCACACCAATTGTGAAATGTAGGGTAACAAGGAGGATGAATTGAGTGACATTTTGGAATTGTCTTTTCTAGCGATCAGTACCATTTTGTGGGTGATTTCAGCGTCTGCTCAGACATTCTGCCAGTCATATTGTAAAACACACCTTGAGTTGTACCCCACCGCTGGTCTGTTTGCAACCACATAGTGAGTTTTATTTAAGTGGATAGAAAAATCCACTAAGTGTGAACTATGTATAGATACGTGTATAGATGGGCGAACAATACACTGGCAAAAAACACTAAGCTACCTGAAAATTTATTTGGAAGAACCAAAATCATCAAAAGTCATGCACCCGTTAATTACGAAATTCTGGCGGGAAACACGAAGTGAGAGATATGGGTGACAGATTATAGATAGTTTATTTTATTAACAAAGTGCACCTATCCGAACTTCGCAACGAACTTTACGTGGTTCAGCACAAAACTAAAAATGCACAGGTCTCCAAACGGACCTTCCTGTCATTTCCACTTGAAAACGTAAAACTTAAAAAAGGAGATTTCACTAGAGTCTGAGGAGGGCGTGTGTCATCCCGTCTTACGACAAGGTTGTGACAGGGTTGGTGCAAGCGTGGGCCTGAACCCATGCTGCTTACGCATATATCGCCGCAAATAATCTACAGTTTTACGTCTCGGTTACCCAGTGAGATTCTGAAATTCTGATGTTGTTTTACGCTACAATCGTCGTGACCCACAAAATAAATGAGGAGGAAACTGACTCCCCCCCCCCTACTAAAGGACAACCAAGACAAAATTAGAGGAACAATGTGATATGCCGAATCAACTGCAACAAGTGCAACAAATTCTATGTTGGACAAACTGGGAGGAAATTATGCACACGAATAAAGGAACACAACGCAGCCGTCAGGGGACATGACCATCTTATCCTTGATATCCATACACGAAGACCAAGAAGGCCACAAATTCACTATGGAAAACGTGAAATTCTTGGCATATGAGAGCACCATGCGGGAATTCCTGGAGGCATGGTACTCTACGGGTGATTCGATCAACCGATGCATTGAATTGGATCGAATTTACGCGCTACTACGTGCAAAGGACCAACTGCTCCACGGGAATACTCCAGGAGAGCCAAATGTCGGATTCACGAATCAACAAGCAAGAAACTGCTTGGAGTCGGATCAAAAAAGGTCACAAGCCGGAACCCTGAGAGGTCAACGACAGAGGTCACTCCAGCCTCGATCAGGGCACGTGGTCATCGACCGATCAAGAAACAGGGTAGCAGATCAACCAATGGAACCGACCGGCCGAACATCCAGTCGTGATCGAAGGGCAACCCCAGCCAGCAGCCAGCAAAACCCGGAGAGGTTAACGACAGAGGTCACTCCAGCTTCGATCAGGGCACGTGGCCATCGATCGATCAAGACACAGGATAGCAGATCAACCAATGGAACCGACCGGCCGAACATCCAGTCGTGATCGAAGGGCAACCCCAGCCAGCAGCATGTATATTAACACACACAACACTACTCAAAACACAACCAACAACCCATCGCTACGCTCCATCAAGCTCCCTAACAACGCACTGATCACGTCTCCTCGATTGGCAATCAAATTGCCTAGCTCAGCGAGCAAATCAATGACCATCTACGCTACCTGAACTACCAACATTCTTTTCCATGGCAAAGTTACTCAACCTGCTTATCCCAGTATGTTCTTTCTGCTTTGATATCACCAATAAAGTGGGTGCAGTGTTTCGTAATTTAACTAACCGAGCAGTTTAAAAGGTTTTAATAAACCACGTTTGATGTTTCGAGTTTGAAGATGCATAAAGAGAACTTATCTAGTGTGAGGGTGTCATCCATCAAGGTAACTTCTTTCCTCTTCTGAACAACGAGTGGATGTATTAACTCACCTGAAGATTGGGACCTTGGCTTGGAAGTGTAGTTTCCACCATGCTGCTGAGCTGAACAGCCAACGTGACCACCTATCCTCCGAGTTTCCTTCATGTGAACCGCTCTTCGGAAAATGTATATGGACTGCTAAACACTGGCGTGGCGCCTCACCAATCGGTCAGTTGAGGATTTCAACTGCATCGAGAAGCTTCAAGTGAGATTTCCTCCTTAGCAAACAATATGAAAGATATCGGCACAGTAACTGACGCAAAGAAAAATGAGTTGGACGAGAGTTTCAAACGATCTAAATTCAAGCTCTTTGAGTACTTTTCCGTCTTTCTGGGTCATTATTCGTCATGCTGCACCAATTCACAATAGGAGACAAACGAGAGATTCACCTGGGTTGCAGGTGAGTCTCTCGAAAGAACCAAATCAGTTTGCAAATGAGTGTACATTCGCTAATTCCGTGCAATTTGGTTTCAAGTAGAACATAAGGTTGACGGAAACCCGGGGACTGCGCCTACCTGATGAGCCCCAAAAGGGCGAAACCGGTCGTGGACTGTCGACGGATTTTCAGCAAGCTTATGAGTGATCTTTACTGACAAAGGACAGGTTGACGATATGACTATTTGCTCTCAAATTGGATTCACCCCTTCCGTAGACGGAAGCTGCTGACAAACCTGTTTTATTCGGTAGATGACTTTGTCCGGTGATTTGACCAATTTGTGGCCAAACGAAGTTTTTCCGTTAAACGAATAAACAAATCAGAGCGAAATCAGCTGACTATCGGTTCTTAGTGTCAAAACACAATATTCTTCGGGCAAATGCCAAGGGGCATTATACGTCTGTCGTATCCTTGTTATCATTCACCAGCACTGTAGATTACACGATTTCTCAGGAATACTCAGGCGCGCCACCTACCGGCACAAGCGGCTGATCAGTGGTATAATCAGCTTGCATTTAGGCAAACAATATTTGTATTTTATCATTCAGTCACTCAGTTGGGGTCATGCTATTCAATGTTGGCGGTTATTTGAGCAATGACTGCTCGTAAGGAACGTCCACTTTAATCAATCACTACTAACTGAAGAGTATGGTGTACGTGTACCGTCTGGAATATTGTAGATTTGGCTGCCTTCCGAGGATTGCTAGAGGCGCACCATCGACGAATTCAAACACGTCTGAAGGAGTCGTACTTGCTCAGAATCAGCTAATAACAGGGGAGCCAAGTTAGGTCTGTTTTTAATTGTTTAAAGGCGTTCCCGTATTTACCGACTGATTATCACGTGCAATTCTGGATGCACTTTCTAGTCAGCATTCCTATGTACGATGACTCGTGGTATTAATAACCCCTTCACAGTTTTAATCAGCTCAGTACTAACATCTGTATTACAGCCAGCAAAGAACTGACTCGTGGAAGGAAAAGAAGAGGAAACTTTCGTTTATTTTCTACACCCTTAATTGTTCTAGAATTTAACCCACTAACGCATGTAATATTTTGATCGGTGGAGCTATGGAAAAGGCGCTTCTGGCAAACATGCAAGTTGTACATAAATTTCACTTTCTCACCAAAATGTATTCCGGCTTTTTTCCAAACTGCTCGTAGATATTCGAGCTCGTCTTTCCAAGATATGACATGTTATGTTTAGATTCTGATCCATCATATTTTGCGCTAATCAATTCCTGTGTTTTGTGGACGACAAAATGCAGTGATGTTTTCCAGTACCAAATCACTGACATTTTTCTTCAGTAGTGTTGTAATTTTGTTCATTAAAGAGGGATCATCGAATCCTCATCAAGAAATGCTACTGAAGAAGGAGTTTTTTCCAAAAATGCAATATAGTCTATCATCATAAAAGAATTTTTTTCGTTTGAGCGCATTGGACAGCAGACATTTAATCAATTCAGGTGTGTCTCCAAATGAAAATTATCAGCCTCACAGATTATTTTCCATTGTTTTATCAACTACCTGATTAAATATTCATAAACTGGATTGCTCGCAAGTCTGGACTGTCTCCTGATTATCAAAGACGCTTACGTTTGTCTGCAAAAGTTGGTTTTGTTCTCCTCTGGTTCGTCTGATAGTAGCTCACTGGACGCCACAGTCAAACTAGGCTAACACAAACACAAATCTCTTATTTTTTGTGACAATACGGTTGATTTTCGAGAACTACACTCATCTGAAAGTCAATTTGGTTTTCACCCGAGACTCAACTGAATCTCTCGTTTATGATATTCTACAACTGAATATGCTGCACATAGGCCACCTCATGTTTCAGTTGGCAAGATATTCGAGGCATCGCCGTATATTTCCATAAAGGAAACTACTCATAAGGTTACTGAAAACTCTTCGACAGCCCACGACCGGTTTCGCCCTTGTTGGGGCTCATCAGTTAGGCGCAGTCTTCCGAGTTTCCGTCGACCTTATGTTCTATTGTGTTCATATTTGTCGAATCCTTGCCCGACAAAGCTGAAGTTTCCATTTGGCTCAATGTCGGTTTCGTTTTTTTATATGCTGGTGTCATCTTCTGGATTCTCTTTGAATTGAGATTCTGGGTTCCATCCAGGGGGAGACACCAAGAACAGACTCGGCAAAAAATAAAAACAACAATGTTTTCACATTTTTAATTGACTGTACACATTTTTCTGAGCAGACAATTTCCTCTCAAACGGGACGTGATCACCAGTGCTGAAAAAAATTCCTATAAAAGCATTTTCTTCCCATGGAGGTATTCAGGGCTTAGTTGTTTTCGATAAAAATAACAGCTAGAACATATTTTTTTATGTTGTATAAAATATGATATACACAGATGCCAAACTGTCCATAAAAGTGTCAAAAAATGACGCTAGTTATATTAGCTACTTGAAATTTGGGGAGGTAGGACTACGTCGGCTTCATTGCACCCGTCCCTGGAGAGTACAGTCTGGTCTTCGCGTTAGTGCAACGTCAATTAACTAAAAATATCGTGGATTCCATCATCCAATGCAAATTAGGTTACTGAAAGGATCGAGCTAGAAAAAAGAATCAGCTCTTTCGTAAAGGCAGGCAAGATAGACCTTGTGAGAATTTCATCAATATGCCGTGTGCGTCGTAGGACATTTCCGAGTACTAGGCCCAAAATTTCATCTCACTTTTTATCTTAAGTAGTTCGGCTAAAGTGAGGTTAAATGTTGATGCACTGCAGTCCATCCCGTATGAGCACATTTGTAAAAATGAGTCTCTCTCCCCGTTACAAAGTTTGACTATTTGAGTACAGCTGATCCACTCAAACGTATGCTTTAGAACATGAGTACACATTCGTCTCGTCGGGGAACAAACTGGAGATCTCTGCGTACAGTTCGACTTGCTCGAGAATACTGCACCTAGGCATGTGCCTGTTCTTTGGTTGTTGGTCTGTTCGCCGAGCTTGGCAGTTGGATTGCAAACGTTTCATCACCAATCGAGGTGACACCGTCAGTGCAGGGTTGAGTGGGTTAATTCCTCCTCTTCTGCCTGTGATTATATAAAGCTTGTAAACAGTATCTGGTTGTTCTGGAAACGGTCGTCGTGTAGTTTGATTGGTCTGTGAATCTCACGTGGTTTCAATCTCCTGTGTCTGGTTGCTACGTAGGGTGCATTCATTTCGGCAGTTCTGTATGTGGTTGTCATGCTGTGATTCGGTCGTTTCCTTCTTGCTTTGTGGGGTGGGTTTTGCTCATTTGATTGGCCTTCTGTTTTTCGTGGTTGCCTTCCTTTGACCCAATTAGTCCGTTGGTCGCCGTTAGGTTTCTTAGCTCCGAGTCACGTGACCGTGTGGTTCTTTCGACCGTAACGGCTGATAGACTGGGTCAATGTCGATGTGTTTATTGATCGATTTTTGTGTGGAGTACCACGCCTCGGCAAATTCTCGCTCCGTTTTGTTCTTGCGTGAGCGAGTATTTGAACATTATCCCAACTGAACGTGTGTCCTTCTCTCCGTGGATTGAGACGAGTGACATTGGTTCACGTCTTCTACTGGCAAGCTTGTGTTTATGTATTCTCGTAGCAAGTTTTCTTCCCGCTTGGTCAACACAGTGTTTGTCGCAGTCGTTGCATTCAAGTTTGTAGACCACGTTAGTCTTCTTCAAAGTATCCAAACTTCCCTTTGTTTTCGAGAGGGTTCTTCTCAACGTGTTTGTAGGCTTAAAGGCGATCGCAATTCCATGTTGCCGTAGGTGTCGTGCAGTCATTTCCGCCACGTTTCTGATATACGGCAGCGTAATCTTCCTCTGTTCTGGTTGTGTTGACGGATCAGCCTGATGTTGGTCTCGTAAGCACCTCCATATGAAATTCCTCGGGTAGCCGTTATTTCGGAATGTCTCGAAGAGTCTTCGTTCTTCATTTTTCTTCGCCTCTGTTGTGTTGCAATGTGTCTCTATCCGCTTGAATAGAGTTCGAACACAGCTCCGCTTGTGACAGTTCGGATGGTTGCTGTGGTAATTCAGAATCTGGTCCGTATACGTTTCTTTCCTGTATACTTCAGTTTGTAGTTGACCGTTTGTTGTCCTTGTTACGAGCACATCTAGGAACGCCAAATTGTTGTTCTCCTCAGTTTCCATTGTGAACTGGATGTCGGGAAACACGTTGCTCAGTAGTTTCTTCGCTCGTAGTTGTTCATTGTTCTTTACAAAAACGAATGTATCGTCCACAATGAGTTCAGGGTGACCCCATTGGCGCTCCTTTGATCTGTTCGTAATATTCTCCATTGAACCCAAAGTAGGTTGTCAGGCACAGATCTAGTCTAGTACATATTTCTTCCTTTCCGAGGGTTCCGTTGGTGTTTCCGCGGTTATCCAGGAGTTCGGCGACCGGCGTCCGTGC